GCACCATATCAATGGCCACCTCAGCGGTCACCTTCCCAGAAGCCGATGAGGTGCCACCCCTTCGGAAACGGGCCGGTCTCGAGAACTAACCTACCGGCGGAGCAAAACCCTACGGATCACACGGACAACGAACGCCCACAACGGCCTATACGCTTACCGGCTTCACAATGCCAGCAAAGTGCCCGCAACGGCCAAGGCACCCAATGCCTCCACAGCGATAAGGAGATGACAACGGCTAGGAACGTCATGAACGCCCGTAACGGCCACAGAACCAAAGGAACAAAGAACCCGCAGCCATCGGCCTTCGTAACGACCCCTGATGATAATTCTTTACAAGCGATCTGCGCACAAGGGTTCTCCCACAGGGTTACCTTGGCCAGAAAATCGCCATAAGGGTTGGATTCAGGGGCACTACGCAGAGGCCGCTTCGGCCAGGGACTTAAACAACTCCTTCACCCCTCACACTCTTCGGCCTGAAGCAGTGGGGGACTGGGGGACTACATCGGCCTCAACAATACAGAAAGGAAAAATGCAAACACAAATGTAACCACAAAGCATGGCCACATCGTCCATGTATCACAACGGCGCCAAGGTTCTCGTAACTCCATCTCCGGCCAGGCACTTTGGACAACACGGCGCCTCGTCGGCCAAAGGCACATAACAGCACCAGCAACGGCCAACAGGCCACCTAAGGCAAGGACATTCATCGTCCTCCACCAGCAGTTAATCATAATGGGCTCTTCGGCCAGGAACACGAAAGCCAACCAGCGACGGCCAAAAGGAGTGCGCAAGCACCCTCACCGGCCACCCAAATGAAAGGACGCCCATCGTCCTCGAAGCAAGGTTCAACCTCAACGGCCTCATCGGCCCGAACATAAATCTCAACCATCAACGTCCAAGAAAGGGAAAACGCGTCTTCAATGGCCTCCCCGTCCACAACGAGGAGCAGGTAACGGCCAAGCACCGAACAAGACCACCAAAATGGAAACAGCGCCAACGCCACAACAGCTAACGGCCTGGGAGTTCCCGCATCGGCCAGAAGCACCAAAGCACGCGAATCTACTCTCCTTCACTTCGTCTACGTCTCAGCTTAGAGAGTGGGGGACTCCTGATGGAGTATATGGGTCTGAGCCCCAGGACCCACATACTCAGAAGAACAGAAAGCACAAGACACTGAGTGGTGCCCTCGTCGGCCAAGGGACCCCCGTCGGCCGGGAAGGTACCAACTCAGAATATGGTCCTGAATCCAAGGAACCCGGGTGCCTTCGTCGGCCGCGCCCTCGTCGGCTGTGCCCTCGTCGGCCACGCCCTCGTCGGCCACGCCCTCGTCGGCCACGAAGACCTCACAGAACCGGATTTTACACTTACTCATTTGAACAGCCCATTAGTGGCTTTGTATTCGGCCCAGTAGCGGTCCAGTTGTAAATGGGCCTCCCAAGCCCAAGGCTTGGGAGCCCAGCCCGTATTTTCCCTATAAATACTTCCTCTGGAGGTAGTTATCAGGGTGACAAAATCATTCTATTGAAGCATATTATTGCACTTCTCTCTCTAGCTCTCACTTCTCTCTAGATATACTCTATCAACTACACTAATTAAATAAGTAAAAGAACAAAAGGCAACACCTATAGTAACTTAATGAATGCTAATGCACGAGCATAGATCTTGAAGCAACGAGGGTCATGTACTCATGTATAGGGTTGGATTCAGTTCGGGTCCCGGACCGATCCTGTGAATTTTGGGACCGAACCGAAATTTCGGTTGTTCTAATAATGACAACCAAAACCGAACCGTACATAGACCAGGTCCCAAGTTATTGGGAACCGTTTTTTCGAGGAGTTAACCCCTCTTCTTCCAGTGTGGGACGAAGTTCGTACAAGAAAGAAAAACGTTGAAAACGAAAATGCTAAATAAAAAGTCACCAGGAGGAATGATCCCGCGACACATTGATTAACATTTGCTCTAATCGACCAACTTTCTAACGCGTCCCATTTGAACATTATTGTCTCGGTTTAATATTATAGCTCTATTAAATGTCATTAATTATTATTAATATTATAAATAATAATAATTATTATTATTAATATAAAAATGTCGGTTCGGTTCGAACCGATAATTTGTGCACATAAACCGAACCCGATCCAATTTTTTTTCCCGGGTCCCGATTATTGGCTCCCAATTTCCTTCGGTTTGGTCCGGTTCGGTTTTTTCTAATGTAGTTCGGTTAGTTTTGGTTTTTCGGTTCAAAATGCCAGCCCTACTCATGTATAACTTCAAATAGGTTATTATTTCCTGTACGCATCACTTTGGCGAGCTGTCACAGTATTCTTTTCTCTTTAGAGTCTTGATATGGGTGGAACACAAAAGTAATACAATAATAATATCTAAGCGAATTATGACTTTGAGGAACTAATTTATTAAATCTAATGACTATTAAACAATTAATGAACATATAAGGCATAATACATTTTGGAATTTTATCAATTCAGGATCCTAAAGATAGATGAATTATCAATTCGGAACCCAAAAGATGAAATGTATCGATATAAGACTCGAATGATGGAAAACTATCAATCTAGTACCTAACATTTATTTAATTTTTTATTAATTGTATTGCTATTTTTGATAAACTTTTCTTAACAAAAGTTTATTCGATTAATAAAACTAAATAATATTTAAAATAAAAAAATAAAATTCATGACAACTTAGGTCCTAAATTGACAATTTTCCATCACTCTAGTCCTATATCAATGCATTTCATCTTTCGGGTCCCAGATTGATAATTCCTCTATCTTTTAAGCCCTCGATTGATAAAATTCCATTTTTAAGCAATCTAAATAGTATTGAGCGGATCATCATTTCGATTCAGTTGTACTACTCAATTAGGCTGCAGTTTAATGATATATTTTTTAACAAAATATGTATCAATACGTATGGTACATGTATTATACATTTTATCCTTAAAATATGTGATTTTTTCCTCGCGAGATCAAACCCTGTACCAAATAGCATCCCACATCGGTACCCTTCTCCATCCTGGCATCCCACCAGCTGACTCTGTCTTACCTCTGCTTCTATTGTGCTCTTCTCCACACGCCCTAATTAAATTCGGTACAAGCCATTTATTCCCTAGGTGGGTTCCCCCTCGACGCATATCTGCCAGGAACCATACGCTTTGTCCCCCACCCAAGGTCCTCCATTGTTGTTCGAAGGACAATAGTTATCAGTGTGTCCCCGAACACCACATATAAAGCATAAAATTGGAAGCCTCTCTCGTATCTGAAATACGCCTAGAACCATCTATCTCCTTCCTCCCTTAACTGAGTTCTTCTCTTCAGAGCATTTATTATATCAATTGAATCCAGAATTCTGCATGGTTAAGCTCCACCCTGTTTATTACAACTAGATTCTGGTCCAAAAAGCAGGGCACATCCTGCAGAACTCGTGAGAAATCACTCTCATGAAAAACTGAAGGATAAAACACATAAATCCTATCTGTTCAATACTCACCCCTTTACTCAGGCGCCATATCATGGCCATTGTTTCCCTGAAAGAGACAGAACAAACAGTTTTATTCGTAATGACTCTAGAAACAGCAGAGAAACATGGATTCTCTCCCTCCCCGACATTCAGAGCTCCTGACTCAAACACCAAACCACCATTTTTTTCCTCCTCAATCGACATCTAACGATATTCTTCCGCTATTTTCTCCATGATATAAAAAAAGAACAGGACAAGATTACACTACAGCAAAACAGAAGCAAATAGACTGCTCTCGATCGAATCTTTTCAGATGAAATACAGATAAACTCTCGGCCAATCGGATAAAAACCGATTACGAAGTGCTAATACTCTCGACAACAAACAAGCCTTAGCTACAATGATTAACCAGTGCCACGAGTAGACCCCTGAAGCTTTTCCGCCCTTGACATACGACCTGCTTCAAGCCACGCCAAATGATTGTTCTTCTTCGGGATGAGTTTTTGAGTCGGCGGCCATAGTTACACTAGGGTTTTTATATCTGAATGTTTTTAGTATATACATCACAAACAATTAAACACTGTGATAATTTATCAATTATCAAAACAAACATGTCATAATTTTTGCTGTTTAGAAATTAAAATATAAACCAACAATGAAGTACTTTAAGAAAATGGTATAACATTTAGAAGCTTAACAACACAAAGTTATGCATTTCAAATGGCTAGCTAGGAACTCTACATATATAGAAACTCATAGCAAAATAACATTTTCCGAGACAAAATATGGAGTGAAAGCTGAAAACAGTTGGTGTAGTTTTTTCCCCCAAACATTACATGGTATCTAAAGCCCAGTTATCTAAAGGTTAACTACCTACCTTAGTATATACTAAAAGGGGCAAATTGACCCAAGGCGTTCCTACCATCAAAGGACCTTATAACTTAAATGTGCAGGTTATTTGGATTATAGTATAAACCGGAGCTAAAAGAATTAGCCATCCATGTTACGCACATAATGACATAAAATATATGAAAGTAGGATACATACATATAATATGAGTGCCCAAAAGCTCTTATACTTATAAGACTGATAGGAAGATTGGCATATTCATTTAAACACTTCACTCTACTCTTATATCTATGCATTTCATCTTTCGGGTACCAGATTAATAATTACTCTATCTTTTAAGCATTGGATTGATAAAATTCCATATATCCAGGGGGTGGACCTATGTGAGGGCAGGGTTGAAGCCCAGCCCATTTTTTTTAGTTAGTATAGGTATATGTTATATTTTGAACCCAGCTCAAAATTAATTCTCAGCCCGGCCTTAAATTAAATCCCAGCCCAGCTTTTCAGCCCACAGCCCACATCCCAGCTTAATTCTCTCAGCCTACGCAATTAGACGGAATGCGAATGACGGAATGAAGACCTGCGACTCCTGCTAGTCTGCGACGAGGATGAAGGCTTAAGAGCTGCGACTCTGCGGACTGCGAGGAAGATCGAAGTCCGAAGACGTGAACAAGAGGCCATCATCCGCGCCGCCTCCTACGTCGTCCGCCGGCGTGCGGCTCTGCCTTTGCGCCTCCCTCCAGCAGTCCAGCCGGCTCCAGCCTCCAGGTAAACTCCAATTGCCTTTGCCGACTTGCAGTAATTGAATTTTAGCATTAATCTATTATGTGTGTGTGAATGTCTTATTTGCTCCAATTGTGAATGTGTGATTGTGTATTTGTGTATTAATCTATTATTATTTTTAGCATTTTAGAGTTTCAGGGTTAGTGAATCATTATGATTATTAATTGAATTTTTCAGTACACAATTAATTAAATAGTGTTTAATTCATTATAAATCTATCCAGTTCTTCTAATAATATCTTTGAGTAGAAAGGAGTGATTGCCATTGCTTAATAGAACAAAACGCTAAAAGCAGTGTTTCAAATGGGCGCTTCTGTTTAATTTTAAGCATTGTGCTTTACAGTCGTAGGGGGTGTTAAAGCTGGTTTTCATTATCTCTATAATATGTTACCTATACAATACACCATTTTTATGGGACACTCCAAATTCTACTTCTCAAAAAGCACTTCTATTTCTGAACACTAGCAACTTTTGTAAATTAGGATTTCGTCTAGAATACAGCAACAACATTCAAGCCTTAATCCCAAAAGAATTTGGGGTCAGCTAACATGAATCGATCTATGATATCGATGTCAAAAAAAGAAGGCGGACAAGAAAAGGAAAAAAAGTAAGATAAAATGAATAAAATAAAGATACATAAATATAAGATAACAATAAGCAAACACAAACCCTACAAGGAATTAACATCGAACCATTGTGACTTTGTCCAGATCGAAACATATATTGATTTATTTCTGAAGTGATTTAGGTGCTTTATTTATGTAGCACTATTATTATCTTTTTCTTACGTACTGATTGATCTTTGAAGGAGATATCAGGCAGGCATTTAGCTTGCAGTTGTGTATGAACTGAAGATTATATCACACTCCTGCATCATCATTAGACATTTTCTTTTTATGGTGTTTAATTAAAGATAGAATTAAAGAGTAAAAAATGATTTAGTTATTATACAATTGAAAATTGAGAATACTTATTAGTTTTATGTACAAGTGTACAATGTTTGTTTTTTCCTTATTAGTTTTTGATGAGTATTTAATGTGTTGACGACTTGACTTATTATTATGTATGTGTATTTCAATTATTTCCCCAACCCACCCCATTGTGACTTTCTGGATCTGCCATCAGATACGTTTAATGATCAATGCCTTTTTTCAGTAAGAGATATAGCAAAATCTTTAAGGTAACATATTAAACGATTTACACCATTATTGGTAACATGCTTACATAACTTCACGTCTTTGCAAGTGTTCACTTTTGATTAGAGGTGAAAAAAATATTCTTTTAATTGCCCACTAAATTTTTGTGAGGAGTCAATGATTGACGTCACATGATGTGATTGGGTGTTTTGTATTTTATCTCGTACCCATTATCTTTTATAGATTCACTTTATATTAAGAGATAGTGTGAAAAGCCTCACACTCACTCATTATTTCAACCAGATGTTGACCTAGAAAATCAGAGTCGTGGGATCCTACCCAAATATAACGCTAATTGTTATAATATTAATAAAAATGAAGGAAAATATTATAATAATAGCATAACATTTCATTGTTAATGTACATCATCAAAATATTATGGTAGCATAATGTTTCATAGTTTCGAGATTGAAACGGCCCTTTTTTAAGGTAACTAGGAGTCTAGGACGCAACTCCTTCTGAACATTTAGATGAAAATCAGATTTTTTTTCTCAATACACGACCAGCTTCTGAAAATTCGAAATCAACATGTTGGTCACGTAGATTATAAGTCAAATTAATTTCTTGTTCAACAATTATTTGATCAAATTTTTCATTCAATAATCACGGATCATTTGAATTAACGTCTAAACTATTCTCGATGCTCCGGATTTCTTTAAGTCTTGGCATACTATTGAAATTTCTTTTCATCCCAAATCGTAATATATTGAAATAACATTCAGAAATATCATAAATATGATAATTCAATCTGAATATCCAAATAAATTTTAATAATTAATCCAAAAAATGAATTGTGTAAAATGTAAACTTCAAAACCTGGACGACTGGGCGTCTGGGACTGGTTGTCTTGCTGGCTGAGATGGGCGTCTAAAAAGGCCAAAAGTCCAAAACGGTCCGCAGTAATTAAAAAAAAGTAAAAAAATGAATGCTTCAAAACACCAGTTTTACAATGAGAAATCAAAAAACGAGAGTTTGAGCCTTGAAGGAACGCTTCATTTCCGGCTAACGAATCGTTCCACTGATCCATCTTTTAAGGTTCATAGTAATTTTTATTGTATTTATACATTTTTTGGTAAATTTTATATAAAAAGTATATAATATATATATGTATTGTTTTGGAGGTCCATGGGGTCCCGGGACCCGTGAGACCCTTAGTGGGTCCTCTACTGATTGCAACTAGAGTATTTAGATAATGTGGAAATGAAGATTCACAAAAGAGTCTAGGAGTGTGTATTTGAGAATAAAATAGCTAGGCAATAGAAATAATTTATGTGCACACCCATAAGCCTTTGAACTATTGTTAGTTTCGTATGTAATTATTTACGGAGTAGTTTTTTTATCTTGTGCAATGCACAAATAAAAGACTAATTTTGGATTAAAATAGAATTTGTCAAGTCTAGTCTTGTTCGGTGTTGCGGGAAATGAGTGCGCATGCAGTTCAACTATTTACTGCCTCGACTCCTTGCAGTTCCAAAAGCTGAGTTAATTTCTAATTACGCTCCTCAGTAATGTAGGGTGTTTTCAATTATATTGAAGTTTTCTGATCCGGTCTGATATGTTTAAATTTAGTGTGGTTTGATATGTTCTAGTTTGATAAATGTTTGATCCTTGTATACTTTCTAACTATTGATGGTGTGATCTGTTTAAGTCTGACATACTCTCATGCTCGAGAGTTAATGTACTATGCATAAAACTTGTTCGTTACCTGTAAAAAGATAATAATAGTTATTCACTTATTCCCTATGCTCCATACTTATTACCCACTTTTTGATCGATTAGGTCCCTATTACAATTGACATACTGAGGACTAGAGGTGGGCATAAAAACAGAACTGAACTGGTACCGAGTCAGATCGTAATGGTACCGAACCGAATATGAGGTATCACAACGATTCTATATAATTTTACCCCAAATCAAAACCGTACTGTTTCAAACGTGTACAAGACTGGTCCTAGATTTTGAGAACCGAAAAATACTGAACGGAACCGTTTAAAAATAATGCATTTGAGATTTTTACATTTTTTCCTTACCAATAAATCTCTTTTATAGACAAACAATTTCATAGTCCAAGTATATATTCATGCATCCCTAAAATAGCTAAATGTGTGTTTTATATAAATATTGTTATGTTTTCCTTTTAGGTAATTTATTTATGTTATACTATCTATTGGTGTATATTGATTATTGAAAAAATGCTAAAGTTTTAAAATCATTAATGACTATTAATTTAGTGTATAACACTTTTTGTTGTATCATATTTGTATAGTTTTACAACTTAAATAATATGGTTTAAATTTTAGTTCTTGCGATTCAACTATGAATTGAATTAGAACTAATATTCATCCTTGAACAAAGAAGAAGAAGATTAAATTTTCTTATTATATTCAACAATTATATATTATTCTTTCTATATTTTCACATGAATACAATAAAAATATGTATTTGGTGTATCCTCATTTTGCTATATTTTTCTTTAAATGTGTTGCACTATTTGAACATTTGTGAATTTAAATACAAAAATCTTTCCCAGTATTTAGTATGCACTTAATTATATTTTTATCTAACATGTCACGTGAATTGGAAGGTGTGTTGATATTAAAATATTTTAACATGTGTTGGCATTATACTGAATCATTTTGTACCATTCCGAAGCTACAGATACAAATGGTTCTATTCCTAGAATCGGGCCCTATCAAACAGTTAAAAATCTCAAGGATGCACTGCGGGTTTAGATAAATTATCTTACCGTTCCACAGACCGCGCCACCGTACTTACGAGTTAGGACCTTGTGGGCCATGGCATGATGGGTGAAGAAAAAACTGAACACGGTCTAAATCGACGTTCTGAAGCACGCCAGCGAATCAGTAGGTACTGATTTGCCAAAGCAAACAAATTAACGATTAATCAGTAAGGTTAGGCGGTTGGCGACTGAGGACTTGGCGTGAGAGGAGAAAGGAAAGCACACCGAGTAGGCTGTAGGCGGAAAGGAAGCGCCGGAGCGGCGGGGGCAGGGGCTAGTCTACTGGTTATTCAGTCGGCGTTGCTTAGTCTACTGTCCATTAAGCGTGTAAGTTATTTATTTATTTACGAAGTATTTTATTATTCGTATTTTATCATTGCTTGAACTTGCTTACTTGTTTCATCGTTTTAGTTGTTTATTTACAAGTTTTGTAGAGTTTTAGTTGCTCACTAGTCCTTAAATTGTTTATTGATACGGAGTATTATTTGTTTTACTTGTTTGATTATTTAAGAATGGCTAAATTGATCTAATCTTTTTCAAAATTAAATGTTACAAAGTGAATTCTTGTGTACTTACGGCACCCCCTCCATATGCCCCTCCCTACTTATTAAACTTTAAGGTGAAAGGGCAAACTTGAATGAATGTCTTCCTCAGCGTGATTAAAACAGTTAATGTTAAGTTTAAATCAGATTACTGCTTTTGCCCAGCATTAAAACAGTTGTTTCCTATAATACGTTTAAGGTGTGTTTGGGAGTTGAGTTTTGGAGGGGAATGGTCGAATGGAGGGTTAACGGGGGTTTTGACCCTCCTCTTCATGTTGGGAGTTTAAAAAATTGGAAGGGACGGTCTTGGAGGGATTTTGTAACCCTCCAAATGCTTAATTTTTAAGTTCCTCCAATTTGGAGGGTTTTGGAGGATAATTAACAAGATGGTAATTTAAGCTAAATTAAAAATGAATATCAGCTCAATGATTTGAATTCGTCATTTCTCAAAGTGATTTTAATTATAATTCCTTCAAAAACCCTCTCCTTCCAATTTTATTACTCCCAAATACAAAGAAAGGCTTCTCACCCTTCCCTCACTTTCCCCTCCAACAACATACCTCCAAAGCCTTTCTCTCCCCTTCCCTCCAAACTCCCAAACATACCGTTAGTGTAATGCACTCAACTCATATTGCAAATTCCGTTCATTAGCTTCTCCATTTAAAAAATGCATCATTTTTTTAAGATACCTAATTTATGCAAAATAGTAAACAATTTTGTTCTATCCGACAAGGTGCCGATTAAATTTATTCTTCCAGAGTATAAGATATACGAAGTATATTTAAGCATAATACAAGGTTTTGATGCTTTTTTAATCCGAGTTAATGTGCAAAATTTATATATCATGAGGAGTTTAACACATTAAACCCACAGTAGATTAGCACATGTCTCAAGATATAAGGTTGGTTTTATTAGCCAAGTGAATGTATATGAACTTATGAGGTATGAACAAAGAAATGACACTACTCTCTTCATCTTTTTGTTGTGGACCTATTTTGGGCAGCACTATTTAAACAATCCAGAAACCCGGGTTGGGGAATACCAAGAGCCCCAATTGCAACTAGACATCAAGGATGGGAATCCCCCAATCGATCCCAGCAAGAAAGCTTGAGCGGCATAATAAGCTTTCACGGATTATTATCAAGAACTTATCATCAATATCACGCAATAATACTAATTTCACAAAAAATGTACACCCCACAAGCTCCCATCTTGCAATCACCAGCAAGGCTCTCCTGGAATATGTGGTTTCTTCTCAATGGCAATTCATCGAACAGGTTTTGCCCCATATCACGCCCTCCTTGGTCTCGTCTACCATTTCCGATCTCCGCTCATCCCCGGACCACATTCTCCAGTTCATGCAAAAGCTCACCTCCGATTGTCTCGACGTCAACTGTTATTGCCTCGCCATCTCAATCCTTTCGCGCCTTCCATCCCCTTGTCATGCACTGCAGCTCCTCAAGCAAGCAGTCAGTTCTCGTATTGCGACTCAAGGAGAGATTTTTGATGGGCTGATGAGTGCTCGAGAGAAACTGCAGTTGAAAAGTACGACATCATTGGATTTTCTTGTACAGGTGCTTTGTGAGTTGAAGAGGTGTGACGAGGCGTTGGCGTGCTTTCACTTGATCACAGAGAAGGCGATTTTGCCAAATGTTGTGACTTGTAATGCGTTATTGAGTTCATTGCTTAAGTCAAATAGGATGGAATCAGCTTGGGATGTGTTCGGCCAGATGTATAAGTTGGGGATCTGTCCAAATCGCTACACATTTAATATAATGATCAATGTCCTTTGTAAAGAAGGGAAATTGATGAAGGCCAGGCAGTTTGCTGAACAGATGGATGGATTAGGGTTCAAGCCTGACATCATAACGTATAATACTTTAATACACGGGCATTGTTTTAGGGGTGATCTCAAAGGAGCAAGTGGAATTTTGGCGGAAATGAAGGATAAAGGGGTTAAACCAGATGCATACACTTACAACTCTCTTATCAGTGGGTTGACAAAGGAGGGTAAATTTGAGAAGGCTTCTGATATCATCAAGAAAATGAATGAATATGGCTTTGTCCCGACAGCTGTGACTTACAATACTATAATTAGTATGTACTGTAATAACGGGGATCTAGAAAGGGCATTTGCTACCAAGGATGATATGGTCAAGAGGGGGATAATTCCCACTGTAACCACCTATAATATGTTGATTCAAGGTTTGATTTTGGAAGGGAGGGTGACCGAAGGTAGTAATTTAATGAAAGAGATGAGACAAAAAGGGATGGTTCCTAATGTTATTACGTATAATACATTGATGAATGGCCATTCCAGGGCAGGGAAGGCAAAAGAGGCTCTTAGTCTCCATGATGAAATGTTGACCACAGGTATTGAGCCTACACTTATTACTTATACTTCACTTGTTTATGTACTGGGCAAGAGGAACAGAATGAGTGAGGCAGATGACTTGTTTGCAAAAATGATACAGAGAGGAATTCTCCCAGACCTTATAATGTTTAATACATTAATTGACGGCCATTGTTCTAATGGAAATATCGAGCGTGCAATTTTGATTTTGAAGGAGATGGATAGGATGACGGTTAGTCCAGATGAGGTCACCTACAACTCTTTAATGCATAGGTATTGTAGGGAAGGTAAAGTTGAAGAAGCATGTAAACTTTTGGATGAGATGAAGAAGCGAGGCATCAAACCAGACGTCATTAGCTATACTACACTAATTAGCGGGTATTGTCGAAAAGGTGACATGGAGGATGCGTTTAGAGTTAGAGATGTGATGCTTAGTCTGGGATTTAGCCCAACCCTCTTGACCTACAATGCCCTTATACAGGGGTTGTGTAAAACCAAGCAAGGTGAGGCCGCAGAGGAACTTCTCAAAGAAATGGTTAGCAAAGGCATTAAGCCCAACGACCACACATATCTTTTTTTAATTGAAGGAATTGGGGATGTTGATTCTTTCTTGGGGAAAGAAGACCAATTAGATAATCATATGATACAAACAACAAACATCTAATGTGGAAATACCAAAGCCTCTATAGGTATTGCCTTAACTTAATCAAGATTTTGACTATTTAAAGTCTCTCTATGATGGTTCACTTCATATATACTAAAAGTGAACTTCACTTTTAGTGGGAGTTCAAGTTCAGATTATCTTGATCTTACATATATCTATTTGACAAGGTTTCTTATAAGGCAGTGCAGCGAACTCCAGCATTCTTCAAGCACCAGAGGGAATACTCATGATGGTACTTTTTGTTTTGAGAAAAGTAATTTGGTTGTGGTAAGAGATCTCTTCTAGAAAATACATGTTACAATTCTGTATTCCTTTAGTAGCTGTAGGTTCATTTGGCTTTACCATGTTGCACCGAAGGCAAATATTTCATGTTATTGTAATGTATAATTGGGGCCCAAATCTTTATTCAATTGAATGCTGAATATTGCACATAGCATTTATCTGGGCATAAGCTGGATCAGTTGAACTTGGAATTTTTTCCTGCCCTCCTATACTTGTCTTTCTTAAAATTTCAAATCTTTTTTGACAAAAGTTTTAAAATTTTAATCAAGAACTGTTTGTTATCTAGTGCAGCTTGGCTAAATGTAGTTGATAAAGGGTCTTAGATGTTGTTTGATAAGACATAAGTAAATGTAATACAATCACATGCAGGCAGCCTTGTTAAAGGCGTTCAAAAGCTCGCTTAAGCGTCAAAGCGCAAGTGAGCTTAGCTTTTACAAAGCGATGAAGTGTGACAGAGCCGATATTTTTCGTCGTTTATTTCTCAGGTCGTTTATGTGAAAAGCGGTCGCTTTTCTATGCTTCTCACAAAAAGCATTGAATTCGCCCGGTCAACTTGTATTAGGTCTGTTTCCAGTTAACTAGTATTATGTCTGTTTTATTTAATTAGGGTTCTCCGCTTTGGTCGTTCGTAAATCAATGTCTGCTCTTCGTTCTCATCAGCTTGCAAGTCCTCCATCCTGTCCCTTTTCTCCGGAGTCTAAACTTTAGTATGTAAGGTACGTCAATAAATTATGGCTTCCTTTTTACTACCTTTCATGCGAAGCAGGAATTTTATGAGACCCTAATTTTGTTCTTGACATGAATTTCTCTGTGGTTCTATTTGTTGTCCGCATTCGAACTGTATGGAGAAAGTCTAATTTGATCTTTTCCTTTGATTGGTGGTATTAAAAATTGAAATGCTTAATAAGCTGCCAAAAAACACCTTAAGAACTAATTTTTCCTAGGTTGAATGTGTTGCGTATACTAGGACGAATCTGACACTTCATGCCATTGTATTGTGATGGTTCAGCTTAGTAGTAAACAATAATCTGAGCGGAAAGATGGATTATAATTTACAAGTGAAAGGATACTCAGTGAAGAGTGGAATTCACCCCCCAACCGAAGTTGCTTCATTAGTGTTTTCTGAGTTATCTTTTAGAGTAGCTTTCATGTGATGCTGTATGTGCTTCAGCTTACAAGATAACTTTGTTGGCTGCTATTGGGCAATACTTTAATCTATTTTAGAAAAGATCTGTATTCTTTCTCTCCTTGCCTATTGGTAATTGTAGGTTTTGGCAGGACAAGCGTTTCAAGGCTCTAAACATTTTGGATCCATGCTTGGGTCACAATCATTTGCTACAAAGAATGCATTTTCTACTGACAAGGGTTTGTGCATTTCTCTTGAATTGTTTTCTACCTGTTTATACATTTTCATCCAAGGCTTATTATTAAATGAAAGAATGAAGGGTGTATATCACTTAATAATAATAATAATAGTATGAAACATATGGAGTACAACTTAATGAAATTCAAAACATTGGCCAAAGTATATCACAATTAATCTATCAACGAAAATTTGACAAAGCCCCGACTCCCCAAGTCTGTTACTCTGTTTGGTAACTCACTAACTCCTACTTTCGACTAATCAATCTTGATAGTTACTTTTCTTTTATCAAACATATATCTTTGATTCGTTGAATTATGTAACAATAATTGGCTTGGAAGAATCCATTGGGGTAGAAGAAAGCAAAGATGCAGCCCATCAGAAATCCGACAGCTATCGCCGCCCCGATTCAAGATCCGCGAGTTGATTGGCCGGATTTGTCTCTTCGGCCATGCATGGTTACACTTCTCATACAAGAAATTGATTAAAAAGGATAAAAGGAAATGTAATCTAGAAAGTGAAGTGAAGATCACTCCACGAAGAAGTTTTATGGAGAAGGAAACAAATTCTAAAAGTGCAAAGGCTTCTGAATTTCGGTTCTTAGCTGTTCTAAGAGTGAGTCGTCATGGGAATGGAATAAACAGAGCTACTATAAGTCGCTAGAATAGCGAGGGCAGGGGATGAGGTCTGGGAGACTTGGAGGGGACTAGATTCTCACCCGCGCGATGCGCGGATGAAATTTTACCAATCTGTGATTAAGAAGTGTCTTATAAAAACGCAAAAATAATTGAACTCATAATAAAGTGGTAAGTAATATATATAATAAGTGTTAGTAGTTAAGAGAGAGATAACATATGAAAGTGTAAAGTGGTAAGAAAAATAATAAGTGTACATAATGAAACTACAAATTCTGAAATACTTCTTTGTAAACAATTTTAGTAGTATGATCAATTTATTTGTCATCCACATCATAGATCAATATCTTCAACCCTTTACGATTGGTAACTCTTGACACTGCAACGTAAAGTTGACCATGAGTGAAGACTGGTTTCTTAGTACCAGGCCAACATGTGACAGAGATTGACCTTGACTTTTGTTTATAGTCATCAAATAAGAGGTCATGATTGAAAATTGCCTTCTTTGAACTTGAATGATATTCTTGCATCTGAAGGTGTTAGTGTCAATCTAGGAATGACCACTTCTTGTCCATCAAATTTTCCTCCTAAAATTGATGCTCCAAGATCATGATTTCCAAGCCTTGTAATAATCAACCTTGTGTCATTGCATAAACCCATAGAATGATCAATGTTCCTTGGAAGCATAACTGGAGTACCAATTAAAATTAAACCTAGCCCTACACAAAGAATGATACCCAACCTAGCGTTTAAATTTATTTGGCTATCTTCGGCCCACTAACCCAGCCCAACAGCTAAAATTAAACCTACCCAAACCTAACCCAGCTAGGGATGGACTCGGGTTCGGGCCGGGTCCGGGTCAGGCCTAGGCCCGGGCGGGCCGGCGGTTCAAGAATAGTGGACCCGGGACCGGCCCGGGTAGCCACCGGGTCCGGGCCGGGCCGGGCCTCCGGTTTGGATTTTTTTTTTTGCTTTCCTAACCCCCCCCCCTCACCCCCCACCCTCCCAAACCCCCCCAAACCCATCCTACCCATCAAGCCCAACCCGGGTGGAACCCCAAAAATGAAAAAAAAAATAAAAAAAAATCAATTTGGCCCGGGCCCGACCCGGCCGGGCCGGTTCACCAAAATTGAGACCCGAGCCCGGACCCACCTTACCCCCCGAGCCTAGGCCCGACCCGGACCCGAGAACCGGGCCGGTCCACGGGCCGGGTGGCCCGACCCGAGTCCAATCATAAACCCAGCCTGCCCTATATTTATCCCTTTGCCCTCCGGATAACCCTATTATCCGATCCTTCAGTTCCATCTCTTAACCATTCGGCCCCCCTAAAGCAACCATCGGTTCTTCCGATGATCTGCTTGTCGTTGCTTCATCTACCACTTTTATTTGAGTGAACAACTTACTCTCCACCGTACTCTGTGACGGTGGCAAGCAGACCCATCGGTTTACAGCGTCAAGTTGCTTCATCTACCAAAGCTGAGTGATAAGTTCATGATATCAGAAGTTATTTGTGGTATATTTCCCATACTTGTCAGATCTCCATCTGTTATATAATTCTATTTTAAATTTATTATTACTTATTAGGCATGAATTATTGAAACTGTTTCGCTCTGACCTGAGTTCGTAATTTACGAAATATTTACAAATGGAATCGATTATGTGATTGATTAAGTTTTCAAATTTGTATATTAATTTCAATAGAGGATTAGTTCCGTGCCACAATCTGTCGAAGTTATGGTTTTATTTGTTAAAGTATAGTGTTTGGGATTGGTATTTTCAGGTCCAGATTGTTAATATCTGTTAATCTGTGTCTTTAATCAGACATCGTTTGATGTTATGCCCTATATGTTAAAGTTACAATTACTTTTAATAGTCTAAGCCAATGTTTTGATTATATATTCTATGCTATATACTTAGTTTAATTAATATTATTTATTATTTATATATAACCGAATTACTAATAAATGATAACGTTTCTGTCAGATTTTTGAAAATAATTTATGTTGTGATCCATAACATCCAGTAGAAACCACATGCCAGTGTTTGCAACTGTCCCTGCCTTTTTAGTGAAGAAGTGGTGTGAGAATGGTTGTGGGGTTGTATGCTAAAGTTTTAGCTCTTTATATAGGCAAATCTAGGATGGTCTCTATGTTGAAATTTTCACCATTGGTTATTAACCGAGTCACTCAATCTTTTTCAAAGATATTTCCGTACTGGGCATTTAATGTGCTATTAAGGCAGCTGTTGTAGAATTTTTGAAACTCTTGGTCGGGAATATAGATGCTTTCCTCGAGACTATTAAAAACAATAAACAGTACCAATGCATTAAAGAGGTTATCTGAAACACGGCAACACATTCTTTGAACACTTTGTAATTCAAAACCCTCTTCTGAACGATCGTTGCAAATGTACCATGCATTAAATGCATTTTCTTCAGCCTCCAAACGTTGTACTACTTGAGATTAATTTTATTGAAGCTGGACAAAGCATTAAATGCAGCTCATTAAATACACAAATAAATAATTCATAGACTGACTCGGACAAAACGTACGACCGACCCATTATGCAACCATTAAGCCGGACCTGACCCAAAAATGGGACAATTGTTTTGGCGGGAAAATGGCCACTTTTCTCCTGCTTTTGTATATTGAAAGATATGAGGATAGGAGGCTATGTGTGGTTGCGAGGGGGGCTGCGGAATAATGTAGGGGTGGACAAAAATACCGAACTCGCCATGGTATTGAACTGGACTGAAAAACGGGGTTTGAAATGGATCTTATAATTTTTGTTCCGGACCGGACTAGTTGCAAACAATGCCATGACCGGTTCTCATCTAACTGGGCCGAATCGAACCGGATCGAAGTATGATTTAATCATTTAAATGTACATCTATACCATTACTTTGATTAGTGCCTTCGTGCACATCTAACATGAGAGATGTAGCTAAACAAATGAAATAAATCATTGACATTTCTCACTCCATCTTTTCACAGTTTTATATAATATTGACAATAATGTCAACCAAAATGTCTATATCTAGACATTTTTCTTGATATTGTGAAGAAAAACTTATCAAAACATATAAAACCATTCAAATAAGGAGAGGGATATTTTGCTTAATAATATTTGTGTGTCAATACGCTTTCATGTCACGTGCAGTGCGCACCGGAGATGCTCTTAGTTTGATAGAGAGCGGGAAGAGCATGAGGCGAGAACAAGCTTGGACCCACTTCTGTGGCTTGTGGGCCAGTTATGGGCTTGAATTATAGTTTTATTTATTATTATTATAGTTTATGTTATGTTTTTAGTTTGTGCCTATTATAGTAGACTAGTAGAGTATTTAGTACACTACTAAATATTTAGGGGTGGGCTATGTGTGGTTGCGAGGGGGCTGCGGAATAATGTAGGAGTGGGCAAAAATACCGAACCAGCATGGTACTAGGGATGGACTCGGGCTGGGTGGCCCGACTCGGAACCGGCCCGGTACTGTTCCGGCCCGGCCCGACCCGGTGGCCCGGTCAGTGACCGGTCCGGGTAGGTCTGGCCCGTGGGTTTTCCGGTCCGAGTTCGGGTCACCCAAAACAAGGCCCGGCCAGGCCCGGGCCCGTTTCGGGCCAAAAACTATTTTTTTTCAAATTTTTTTTAAATTTTCTGGTTGGACTGGGTATTTTGGGCCATTTGGGGTGGTTTGGGGGGTTGGGGGTGGGATGGGGGTTAATTAGGGAGAGGAAAACAAAAAAAAAGTTATAATGGGCCCGACCCAGCCCGGACCGGACCCGGTGGTTACCCGGGCCGGTCCTGGGTCCACCATTTCTGACCCGCCAGCCCGCCCGGGCCTAGGCCCGACCCGGGCCCGGCCCGGACCCGAGTCCATCCCTACATGGTACTGAACTAGACCGGTATGGTACCAGACCGAAAAATGGGGTTTGAAATGGATCTCATAATTTTTGTCCTGAATCGGACCGGACCGGTTCCAAACAATGCCATGACCGGTTCTCATAAAACCAGAAACGGTACCGAACAGAACCAGACTGAATTATGATTTAATTATTTAAATGTATATTTATACCATTACTTTGATTAGTTCCTTCGTGATTAGCTAAACAAATGAAATAAATCATTGACATTTCTCTCTCCATCTTTCCACGGTTTTACATAATTTTGATAACAATGTCAACCAAAATGTCAATATCAAAACTTATTGTGAAGAAAAACTTATCAAAACATATAAAACCATTCAAATAAGGAGAGATATTTTGCTTACTAATATTTGTGTGTCAATACGCTTTCATGCCACATGTGCACTGCGCACCGGAGATGCTCTTACTTTGATAGAGAGCAGGAAGATCATGGGGTGGGAACGGGCTTGGGCCCACTTCTGCGGGCCGGTTATGTCACGCCCCGGACCCAACCGGACACGTCAACAATCCGCCGTATATTACGAATAGTCAACCCCAGTCCAACACATTCATACTATACAAGGCGTCTAGAATATCATTCACACATAGTACATACATAAACAAACATAATATAAAATATTCATTTAAAGCAGCGGAAACAATATTACAAGTGTTCTAGCCACACTTGGCAAACTTAGGCAAGCTCCCAAATAGTTTATCAGAAAATATTATCCATGAGCATTATTATAATGGTTTAGAAAACAGAAATGGAGGAAGCACGGACCACGTCTTCACTCCAAGATCCTTCCCGATGCAACGGGTACTGGTAACAAGCTCAACTTCTACCTAAAACTGTGAGGTGGCCTCCCCCGCGAAGGGGAGGTCAGTACTTTGAAACATTTGAAAAGTACAATGACAACTACACTGAATATAATCAATGTTTCAATTCCTAAGATTCTCAAATAGAGTGACATCATAACATAATGATAGTTCTTCCTTAACCCTTATTATATTTATAATAAATTAATTCTTTAATTTGTGGGCACGCGGATCCCTTTAAATATTCATTTTTATTCATCGTTCGCACGACACAACCCGTAGGTCTTATTGTTTCTACGGAACTTGCTACCGCTGTCCGAGATCTCATTGGGTCCTCGGGCCGGCTTTCAACATCCCGCCCATGGACTCATACCCATCCTCTCGTAGGAAGGTAAGGCCCTTCGGGGTCCTATCTTATGTGTTACTGTCGTCGAAGCCTCGTTAGGTCTCCGATTCGGATTCCACCCTAACACGTGATCACGCTGCAAGTCCATGCTATCCAACCCCGTTCTCTAGAGTCGGGAAGGGCCATGGTCCTTACTTATTACCATAATTCATCCGGCTATTCTCAAGGACTACCGAAAACACCCGTAGGCCAATCCTATACCTAGGATCAATTTATTATTCAATTTATCTTGAGTATCCATTAAGGCATACCCCTAGTATAACTTAAAGTTCATACATGTCCACCTTAGCATCTCTTGGAAAAGAAGGAGGAGGTCACCTACACATGCTACTTCATAGATCATCAGGGCTTCAACGACAACTATTGGAAAGAGATCTAAAGTCTAGTACACATCCTGTAGACTACTTAAGGTTCAATATCTCACAATTCAACCTTAGGATTAATTCTAGCACAATCTCATTCCAATACCCCGACTAGTATCTTAATACTAGTTGGATAAATTCTATTAAACCAAGTTCTCAATTCATAGTCATATAGACAATTTCAAACTGATTTCCATTGAAAATATCATTTATATCAATATACAAAATATCACTTTTAATCACTCATATATTCTTATATGAAGTAAAAAAGTATATTTCAACAAAAGTTTCATAGTTAATTCCACTATCAAATCAACATACTCATTAACACATAATCATACACAATTTATTCTTAAATTTGTATATCATGGTCCTTTTCCTTATAGACAATAGCGGCGCTGACCAATACCGTTGTGCCGCCGGTCACGACGGAGACACCATTAGACATGGTCGGCAGTACCGCCACTAGAGCGCACAACATCGTCAGACCTCCGCACAACACTCCTCCAACCTTGCTGCCCATGTTTGACGTAGAAGACCCGATCAGATGGATAGCTAGGGATGAGCAACAGTTAGAAATTAATCAAACCCTACCTGAGAGGAAAATGGAAGAACTACGATAGCCATGGAAGGGGTTGTCCTGTACTGCTTGACCTGGTTGAAGGCACGGAAACCGAGCATGACTTGGGAGGAATTCACACAAGCACTAGTGCCCCGATTTGATTCATGGTTCAAAGGTAGCTGATTCGAACGACTGTTCGGGGTCAAACAGTTAGGAACCGTAGAGGAATATAATAACCTTTTTATTCAATTGGTTAGTCCGGTTTCCGGACTATCTGATGATCATTACTTGGGGTATTTCATGAACGGACTGATGGTAACGATTCGTGGATCCTTGCGGTTGCTGCGGCCAAACAACCTCGAGATAACAATGGAATTGACCAGAGACATGGAGGACAATTTGTCCTTTCAAGATGGAGATTGGGAAAGCTAACCTTACAAAAAGGAACTGCATTCAAGGAGTGTTTCGCATGGAGGTGGGGGCAGCAGCGCAACTATGAGTGGTGGTAGCATACAAGGATCGAGTGGCAGCTTTCCAAAAGATAGTTGGCAGCCCCCAGGGACAAAGTAAAGGTTGTTTAGGAAGTCTGCTGCAAAATTGCAGGTGAAAGGATTATGATTTAGGTGTAAGAAACCATTTACACAAGGGCATGACTGTCCTTTTAAGCAGTTGCGGGTAATGATAACTGAGGAGGATGAGGAGTTGGACCTCCAACAGCATAAGTATTGTGAAATAATCGGCCGGAAGGAGATGATTGATATTTTCCAGTCTATTCCATGGATGAAAATTTCAGCCCTCGATCTGCGAGATTTCAACCTTGAGGACAAGGTTATTTTCGAGGAGGATGAGTTGATAGAGAAGGAAGAGCATGGGGCGAGCACGGGCTTGGGCCCACTTCCATGGGCCGGTTATGGGATGGGATTATAGTTTTATTTATTATTATAAAGTTTATGTTATGTTTTTAGTTTGGACCTAGATATGGACTCGGGCCGGGTGGCCCGACCCGGAACCGGCCTGGACCGGTACTGTTCCGGCCCGACCCGGTGGCCCGGTCAGTGACCGGTCCGGGTAGGCCCGACGCGTGGGTTTTCCGGTCCGGGCTCAGGTCACCCAAAACAAGGCCCGACCCGGTCAGGTCTGGACCCGGTTCGGGCCAAAACTAATTTTTTTTTCAATTTTTTTTAAATTTTCGGGTTTGGCTGGGTATTTTGGGCCATTTGGGGTGGTTTGGGGGGTTGGGGTGGGAGGGGGGTTAATTAGGAAGAGGGGAAAAATTGATAATGGGCCCGGACCGTACCCGGTGGTTACCCAGGCCGGTCCCGGGTCCACCACTCCTGAACCGCCGGCCCGCCTGGGCCTAGGCCCGACCCGGACCCGAGTCCACCCCTATTTGGACCTATTATTGGTAAAGTATTTTGTATGGGCTTTATTAGGATTTAATTAATTTGGACTTGATTAAGGTTCCATTGAGTCTCTTACCAAAAGGCTATTTATACCCCTTGTGGGCCTTGGCAGAGTTCAGTCTTGCTTATCTATGGATAAAATTAGAGTTTAGCCCTTTGACTCAAGGCAACGATTTCTATCGTTGATTATTTGGATTTTGGACAACGTTTTATTCCGTTGTTTTTTATTTTTTTGTTTTCATCATAGTTTTCCAATTTGTACCAGTTAGTTTTAAAATGTCTATCCTTGACTTATCAATTTATCTGCTACAAAGTACAATGAAATTACAGGAAGAGAAAAGATACAATTACATACGTATTTCATATATATGGTTCACAAATGAACTATGGTACACATAAACACTTCTCGGAAATTTCAGGGAAACTTCCGGATAAACTTATATTATAAACAAATAGGTTTCCTATTTTATGCGTATGTGTTGCCAAGCATTTTGAACTAAAAGCTTGTCTTCCATCATAAGTGCACCCACTACAATGGCCTACAAGAACAAAATTAAAACACATTTAAACAGAAGCAAAGATGATTAGGCAACTATTATTCAGAAAGAAACTTATACCACAACAATATTGTTACATAGTACATACGGTGTCAAGGTCATTTTCTTCCGTAAACGTAAAGGAAAATGACAGTTGTACACATTCACGGCGCAACTAGATGTCTGTGACAAATAAGTTACATGCATTTTTTTTCTATCCTAGACATATATTTTATGTGAAACTTGATTTTCTACATTTCTACTGTCACCTAATGTGACGGACAAAAATTATCTAAGTCAGTGATTTTGAACTGTAAAAAATGTGTACTACTTCGTTAACGCCAAACATTGTCGAAAATTATATAATATGGAGTAGTGTTTAAGAATTGACTATTCCATGTATACTTACTAGGATGAGTTGGAGTGAATGCGAGTCTCTGCAAGAAACTGCATTTCCAGCGCTTACTCCTGCAAGCACGGTCGTGTTTGACAAGAGGAGTCAGTATATTGAGTTTGAGAAAAGGAACTACAATGAACATCAAGACTTCTCCTGTAATTGTAAGTTGTAATTAGTGCTGCGTAATGCATCAAGTACCAACCTGCTTGATAAGCTGGAGAAAGTGGGTTCACCACAGTGGTTGGAGCGGGAGTAACGGATTCAACCGGAGACGAAGTCGCGAGACCCACTGGAGCAGCTGACAGGGTCTAACACCCGGTAAATGATGATTTATGAAGAAAACATATTTGTAGCAGCAATGGCGTGCGTGTCCATGAATATTGTTAATACCATTGATTAGATAACACATTTTGAGTACAAAAATCTTATAAATAAAAATAAATTATTCAATATGAATGGCTAACATACTTATGTTTCGACCACTACATATATTACAAAAAATCATTGAGAATGACAAATTTCTTGTTTTCAATTTTAACAAGAAACATCTTCCAGATTTTTTATGGGGTTGTAGAAAATTGAAATCAGTGTTAAATAATACGAATCCTAAATCCTAATTTAATCAAGAAAACATTTTTAGAAAGTTGAAAACATTACAGAAAAAGATAAGGCAAATTGAAAATTTAGAAATCACATAATTTCTACTTTATTATCTATGTAGTAAAGGGCATCCAGGGGTGCATGATGGCTGCGAGGGTCCGAGGAAGGATCCCACCAAAAGGGCTAGCCTTCCCTTTCAAAGAGTGCCATATATATTATTAATACCTGAGAAGTGTTGAGAAGGCCAATATCATAGGCCATGGAAAGGTCGGGTTTGAACATCCCAAATGACCTTTCAGAGGCAGTACCTGGCTTCAAATCCTCATCATAGAGGGCAAAGATATAAGTATCAACTGATTTCCCAGGCATTAGAGGCGTACCAACCATAGACCTGAGATGATTTATCAAGTTCCCATTATATGCTTTTGCATTTTCCACGGTGGCACCTGCTTCGGTAGGATCACCTTTGGTAGGCCAACCAGTCTCTGCAACTACAATTTCAACCTCATTGAATCCCATTGCGTTCAAGGCTGAATAAATTGCATCCACCTGCATATATCAATTTCGATCTCTTAATAACAAATAAATCACAACTTAATGGAAAACTTAAAAAAACTAATTGAAGTGTCCCAAATGCCTATTTCTATATATTTTCAGAATTAACTTTGCAATGCGCATCACATATGACTATTTCATTCAACTATCTGAAGTCTCATGTTTTCAACTCATCAACCCTGATAATATTTTGTGTGCCAATGGATAAAAATGTATAATGATGACCGTTTTGGAATTTCGTCTAACTGTTCGTGCTTCACCAGGTTGTAACATGAAGGGCATGAATTTATAATGTTAACTAATCTTAGACAAAATGCATTGACACTTTGACACCATATATTCAACTACGTTATTAGGATTAAGGCGTTACTCGTGATTCCTTTCCCTAGAGAATTTGCATTCCAAGTGCATTTTTCCCTTTAAATTCGCATTCCAAATGACAAAAAAGTGATGATACTCCTATAAATTTGTGGTTACCTTTACAAAAGCATGCTCAGAATCTTGTTAAGTTTTCAAGCAAGCAAGCAAGCAAATTCACGGAATCAAGCTACCTCTTGATTAATTGTTTGGAATGGCTTACTAAAAGCAGTTTTGATGTAATCACTTCTCTAAAAGGGAAAAAATTGGTGCTTCTATTGGTTTAAAAACCAATTCCAATTGGTCTTTTAAGTAAAAAAATCAACCATGATCTATAAAAGATCATTTAACATGACTTTGTAGTCACTCAAGTATAAACACTAATACTCATATTAGGTGAAAATTAAGTACCTGAACAAAAGGGTGGGGATGAGATTCTCACCTGAGCATCAAACATGTTCGTATATTTTTTCTGATTTCCATTATCGACTCGGCCTTCATTGGGTTGGAAGAGACAGAAAGCCAATGTTTCGTTCCTTTGATCACTCTGGTAAGCAAAATAAGGATACGGGTTGATCATGAAAGGTGAACCGGTAACACTGTGGAATTGCAGTAATAGCTTCATTGTGTCAGCAATAGTAGAGTTAAATGCTCCCGAAGAGGGCGGGTCAGATTTACTCAATACTTCCATTGAGTGCACCGTGGACACCTTTATTTTTCCGTCAGTCAATGTAGCTGAAGAAAATATCAGAGTTACTTACTCGAAGGCTTAATGGATTTTAGTTACTCTTATCCACAAAGACTGATGATGGTGCTTATTTAGTATTTTCTTATGGCAAATTTAAAGCCAAAATTCACTGATGCTAAGTTAGATAACACAAGATGTGGGCACTGTTTAGTGTAACATTTTTTCATTAAAGAATAGTAAATTTGATAAAATATTCAATACACTAACAAAACTGTGGTTGCATCTGATGGAAGGTAAATAATGGTGTGAAACAATTTTCTTGAAAAGATATAAGTTTTTTGAAATGTACTATACTCTAAATATTGGATTTTAATCCACAAATATAGTTATATAGGTATACTCAAGTTTCTTATCCACGGAATTGTTTTCTGCTTCTGAACAAAGGATAATACAAAAAAGAGAGGTTTTCATTTTCTCTCAATCAAATAGTATGATTAATAATAGTATCATAATTACAACCGAAGAAATCTTCTAATTTCCAAATCTTTTTGTATGTAACCATTTCAGCTCTGAGAGATTCAATTCTTTTCTTTTGCAAATCTGAAACACCTACTCCATCTTCGACCATTCCCCTATAGCATAAGGATGCTCATTTCAGATTATGATGCCAAAGTTATTTACAATTTAGTTTCCATTGATGTGTTATTTTAAACTAGTCCTGAAAAGTTATTTTAAATAGTTATATGTTGAGGGACAAAAAGTGAATTTGAAATTGGTATAAAATTTAGCTAAAAGCAATCAAAGAAAATTATCACATTACCAACATAGAAGACATGACTTGGAAAAAAGTAAAATACATATACATATATCTAACGGAACAAACAAGACTTAAACATACCAAACAATATACTACTCCCTCCGTCCAAAAAAGATTTGCCAAATTGACTTTTTTAATCAATAGCAATGATATTTTTTAGGCTAAAGGGTCAAATAGATCCTCGAACTAACTTAAAAAGTGCAAATCACCCCTTATATAGGAGGCTCTGTCCGGCCGTCGCCATTTGGGAAGGTTCCCGATTGAATGTTTTGATGAAATTTTTTTAGATCTTCTTGATTAAGTCTAGTTTACTCATACCAAATTTCAGTTAAAAATTGAACCGAGAAGGCAGTCAAATGAATTTTTGAAGATAACTGCGCAATTAAACGGCGCAACTTAGTGATTATTCGAGAGCCTCCTATTTTTTAATACCAAATTGTTTTGAATATGAAAATTATATCAAAATGTTCCTTATTGAAAATATTTTATAAAAGTATACTATATAAGTTATATATATATATATATATATATATATATATATATAATACTCCGTAATTAAAACAGTTATCCAAATTTTGTCAACATTCATTAGAAAAATCAATATGTCAAACCTTTCCTACCACTAACACTAACAATGATATGGAATATAATCAAAGATAGCTACATACATATATTATTGAGGACATTTTGGACATTCTCCATAGCAGTCAAGAGGTTGGAGATAAGATTCTGATTCCCTGAGCTCATAACCTCGTTACCAATGGTGACGACGATAATCTTGCTATTCTGGTAATAAGGCATCACATTATCATTGACCCACTTAACCGCGATGTTCGGGTCGCTGGCAAGATTACCGATGTCATCGTTGGCAGCTCCGATCACAATCTCAATGTTGGTATTCGCCAATGCTGTAATGATCCCGGGGTCGGCGCCGTACAGTCTGACCTTCCCAATACTGGTCTTCTTAAGCAGCCCAGCCGTATTTTCCGGCGGCGGCAAGTTGTCGGCGACCTGACCATAGTTGACGCCGATGAAGGGTTCCGATTCGGATGCACAAACACGAAATAAAATAAAATGATATTAAAGGGTCGCCAGACAAAGCCACCAGAGGGACAAAGACGCCAGCTTTTTGTACAACTTACTTGAGGCAGAGAAAGATTGCAGTATGAAGCAGAGAAGGAACAAGATTGAGGGATTCTTGAGTGGGGAAGCCATGGTTCTTTAATTTTGGCAGCAGAGAAAATTTGACGGAAGAAGAATTGGGAGGTCGTTTTGAATGGCAAGAGTGTTGAGTAAGGATAACGGTTGGAATCAGAGATTATTTACAGAGCAAATTCTTGGCTCTGGAAATGACTGTAGTGACGGACGGGGGAGAGAATAAATCCTCTTTTAAACGTGTGGAATGGGGAAAGGCAAATGAGAGTAACTCCTTTTTCACCGTTCCAAGAAATTGCCTAGAATTCTTATGGTTCAAGACTACTTTAAGGTTTGACCCCTAGCCAAATTGCGATGAATAATTATGAATTTACACAAAATTTGTCCACATACATTTTCGAATAAAAATCAGCTTTTTTTCAAATGACTTGTGTGTAGACAATTAGGAGGATTGTGTAATTTGTATATTAATTTTATGTAAAAATGTAATTTTTCAAATGCGATACCACCAAAATCTTGGCAAAGTGTCAAAGTGGCTTTCTATACAGAGAGAGTTGTCTATGTAAAAGTTTTTCTCCAAATCTTGTCAGTGTCACAAATAATTTGTTTTAAAAATGAAAAAATCGTTTGTAACACAAATAAAATGGAACATGTATACATGTTTTGACAGAGGCCCCAATTTAAACGATATTTGGTAATGGTAATGTGAATATAGGCATATAGCAAATATGAATCATACAAATGAAAATTGTGTTGAATATATATATTTTTCTTCAACAAATTCAGGCAAACAAGCAATTTAAATCTTGATATTTTTATTATTACACGGTTCAACACATCAAATAAAAACTAGTATAAGGGTGCGAAACAGGATTTTAGATTCACAAATTTAATCATATTTTTAATTTACGTTGCGGGAAAACATTAACTACTTAATATGTAGAGCAGTAGAGGGTATTACTCCAGTTTCAAATGACGAATTGAGGTCCCTAAAGCAAGAAAGAACACAAAATTTGACAATGAAATATATACAAATAGACTAAATAGTTCAGTAAAATATAAGTTTTATAATATTTAAAATATACAAATTAGCCTATATAAAAGTCATACACTTTTTGAAGTCTGAAATAAAACAAAACATTTAGAAAAATGAATCTATAAATATTATTACATAGTAAATATTAAATGAAATAATGGCAAAAATATTAGTTGTAGAGCTTGAAGAGACAAAAATATGACCAGTTTTTACCTAGACAAAAAAGTGACCATTTTAATAAATAAAAAAATCTCCCTCCACCACTTCTTCATCCAACCCGTCGTCCTCTGCGGGGAACCTGCGCTACCCATCTCCTTCAACAAGAGCACTGTGACGAAGATTGAAACAACTCCTTGCGACGAAGATGGAAACGAGTCCTCGTGAAGAAGATGGTCAGGAACCCTCATCCTTCTTCTGCATCGATTCTACGATCGATAGAAGGGCCACGAAGAGCGATAGTGGTGCAACTCCTTCTCCTTTCTTCTCTATTTCTCGAGCTTTGTTTTCAGATCGATTCGTGTCTATCGCCTTTGTCCCATGGAGCCACCGTCCATCTCTGACGACTACAGTTCAGATCTACCATGGTGGTGTGATTTTGAGCAATTAGGAGCGAATATGCCTAGGGTTTTGGTTGTTGTAGCAATTGGGTTATGGCGGCGGTCGGGAAGGTGAGGGGGGCTTGTAGGGTGGTCGGGTTGTGGGACAACTAGGGTTTCTCTAAGGGCAGTGGGCGGGATTTGGGGATAGGGCAGGACGGGGACACTGGCGGTGTAGCAGTCACCGCCGGGATGCGGCGGCCGGTTACTGGACTACTGGAGAGCGGGCTGGGGCTGGGGAAGCTAGGGATGTGATGAGAGAAGGGGGCTGGAGAAGCTAGAGAGGGGCTGGGGTTTGGAAGGGGGGTTGGGGTGGGGAAGGGTAGGCTGCGGTTGAGGGCCGGTGGATGGCGGTGGTGACTAGTGGTGGCCGGGGTTATTGTGGGTGGGTCACGAGGACGCTGAAAAAAACCAACCGAAAATTTTTCTCACAATTTAGTGACACGTTTCCCGGTGACAGTTACATCCTAAAGTGACACGAAATCTGGGAGTGACATTCAAAAGTGACATAAAAATTTAGTAGTGACATATAATTAGTGACAAACAATTTGGCAGTGACATAAAAAATACAGTGACATCATCTTTTTCCAAATATGTGTCCTTCTTAGTCACATTTTTGTCATTTTATAAAAATAGTCACATTTTTGGAAATCACCTTTAATTTGATAATATTCAAGGAAAAAGCCCATATTAAATTTTTTAAGGCCATCATAAAAGACAGTCTCGATGTCAAACACCTATTGCACCTCCTAAAAGACGATCCTTACTATATTATGAGTGCATATACTGTACAGCCGGTGGCATTTTAATAATTTAAATGAAATCCGCAGCTCATGCTAAATGAGCATCAATAATGCGCTTTTAATGAGTTTCAGACTTATGTTGTTGAGTATTAGCAGCCTAACAATGAGCATCTTGATACCTGATTCATATCTTCTAATTTACTTTTTTTCTTATCTTTTCTTTTAAAACCCCTATTAAATTATAACTATACTCAACTCTTATGAATTTCAATATGCGAATGTAATGTAATGTGGTACTTTTGAAATATGCATTGATATGACATTTTGAAAATGAGCATAACATTAATACCAAATGAGCATGTGTGACTTACAAAATGAGTATTACACCAATATCAAATGAGCATAGAAAAATTTTGAAGGCTCATTTAAAATCTCTAGTATGCTCAAATATTAAATGAGAATACATAACTTAAATGAACACTTGAAATTTTAAAATGAGCATTACACCAATATGTATGAATATGATATTTTAAAATGTATGGTGTAATGCTAATGTAAAATGAGCACTACACTCATATAAAATGAGCATTACACTAATACGAAATGAGCGCCAGAAAAATTAAGAAGCTCATTTAAAATCTCTAGTATGCCCAAATATCAATTTGTGTATGTTCCTTAGTATAACATAAAGAAGCAGTAATTCCTTATTTCAATCCAATGAATTTTATTGTGCTTATTTTTCGAATGAAATTAGAGGAGCAGAAGCATATATAAATGAAAAATCATATATTTAGATTGCTAAAGTGAAAATCTTATATTTAGACTGCTAAAATGAAAAATCAATTCTTTATTTTTCAAAGAAAAATCAGAATCACAAAAATGAAAAAGAAAAGTTAAAGTTAGAAAAATTAAAGTTCAAAAAAATAGTCAGAGTGCTAGTGGTAGCTTAGCCCTTACGTAATGACCGGCTTTAATTTTGGTCTCATTCCCGCCCAAGTTCCAGTTGTGAGCCACTTCATTGCAATACCATACTTTCCTGTTTTGCTTAGGGTACAGATTTTGTTAAATACGTTTTTGTTTGTACCGACAAAAAAACTTACACAGACACGTGTAAAAAGTGTGTACACAAAAAAGTGTGTACCTTTATAATTTTTCACTTTCCTTGGCTTAGTAAGCCAGAAGAAAACAATTTAAAATCCAAAACAAATATTTCCTCATTTCCTTTCGGGATTGCATGTTTAAAGAAAACAATTTAAAATCCAAAACAATGAAGAGCCGAAAGCAAAAAACAAAAAAGTTCCATTGCATGTTAATTAGATCTATATTACGGAGTATATATCTAGACATCTAGTATAATTATGTGTTGGAAAATGATTTTACAAATTATATATTATTTGTAGAAAATTATTTTGAAATGAATGAGAAATTGTATCCTGAAATTCTTTCCGAAGCAATGTTTGTGTAGGACTTGTCCCGGGCCACTGCCGCCATTCGGCTGGCTAGACAAGTCGGGCCGGGTTTGGAGTACATGTGGGTACTCACGTGGCTTTAAGACTTAAACATTATTTTTTGTACATATTATTTTCGGATAAAAGTAACTTTAAGAGAAAGGTCACTACCTTTTCTAAACGGGAATCTTTTGGGATTGTGTCTCCTCGCTAGAGCACTATAAATCCCATTAGGAGGTCTGCGTTTTTTCACTTGATTAGAAGTCCGAACATGCTCAAAGCTTTCTTAATCTTCCTGATCCAAATTCCACCACTTCAATGCATCTTTTGGTTCGTCAGTGTCCTTCGGGAACGTATTAGGAACCGTTCTATCCTGAGAGGCGATTGATACTTGTGTTGTGGGCAAATTCTTCTTAAGGAGACAATGATTCATTGGGCTCAGTTTCATTAAGTATTTTCCATTTACTTTACTTCTATTTAATTAATGCATGCACAATATATGAATTTTTTATAACAACATGAAGTTTGAGATCATTTTGTCATTTGTATGAGTCTATGTTAGTATGTTATGCACATAATTTATATCACTCCTTTTTCAAATAGATAATTTCTAAAGTACTCTACGGGGCTGCCAAGAAAATCAAACAAAGAAGTGAGCACTATTTATTACCGTCATTTAAACCACTACAAAAAAACTCGCTCTTTGTCACGGATTTTTGTCACGGATTACGGTCATGACAAAGTTGTCACGGGCTTTGTCACGGAATATTGGGATTCACTACAAGAAATTTGACATTTTATGACGGAAATATTTGTCACATAAACATTAATATTTGTCACTAAAACTATTATATGACAAATTTTGAGCGTCACAACGATCGTCATGGTAACTTCGTGACAAAAGGTATAAATGACAATTTTTGAATTCGTCATTTTATGTTTAGTTTTAGTGACGCCTTAGCACTTTGTCATCATTACTGGACATTTTTTGTGACGTCAAATACGTCACGTTTGTACCATTTTTTTCGTCATCAAAGTATAAATTTTGTCACATTAGCTTAACACAATAAATGACAAAATCTTAATTTGTCATTAAAATGTAACTTATAGTGACAATTCACACGATACTCCAAAAATGAACGAATTGTAGTGACAATAAAATTGTCACTAATAAGTTACTTATTTTGTCACTTTTGTAAAAATTCGTCATTATAGAGATTTATTTAATGACAGTTATTTCGTCACTAAAAAAGTATAATACGACGACATAGGGTGTCATGAATAAAAAAGAAATAACGACGAAAATTTAACCGTCAATAAAGTAATACATTTTGTGACAATATTATTCATCACAAAAATGCTTCTATAGTGACGGTGATAAATATTTGTCATTATTCAAAAAAATTGTTGTGACAAATCAAGTGTCACAATAGACTACCTTTAGATGACGAATATG